AAAAAAAAAAAAAAAGAAAGAAAGAAACCTAAATGTAAAATGTAAAACTAGAAAGCTTCTAGGGGAAAATATAGGGGAAAATTTAGGTAATCCTGGGTTTGGAGATTACTTTTTAGATACAACAACAAAAGCACAATCCATCAAAGAAAATACTGTTAAATTGGACTTCATTAAAATTAAAATTTTCTACTTTGCTAAAGACACTATTAAGGCAATGAAAAAACAAGTCACTGATTAGGAGAAAATATTTACACAACACATATCTGATAAAAGACTTGTGTCCAAAACATACAATAAACTCTTAAATTCAGCAATAAGAAAATAACACAATTTAAAAATGGACAAAAGATCTGAACAGAGACCTCACCAAATAGCAAATAATCATATGAAAAGATACTCGATCTCATACGTCATCAGAGAATTGCAAATTGAAACAATGAGATACCATTACACTCCTGTTAAAATGGCCCAAATCCTGAAACAACACCAAATATTGGTGAGGGTATGGAGCAGTAGGGACTTTCATTCATTTTTGGTGGGAATTCAAAATAGTACAGACATTTTGGAAGACAGTCTTATAGTTTTTTACAGAGATAAATATACTCTTACTATACTATCTGGCAATTACAAGCCTAGGTATTTACCCAAATGAATTGAAAATCTAGTCCACAGGAAAAGTTTGCATGTAGATTACAGCAGGTTTATTCGTAACTCCCCAGAACTAAAAGCAGCAAGAGTCCTTCAGCAGGTTGAAAGGTAAACAAACTGCTGTAGATCCAAACAATGGAATGTTATTCAGTGCTGAAAAGAAATAAGCAATCAAGCCACAAAGAGTCATGGAGGCACCAGAATGCATATTTCTAAGTAAAAGAACCAAATCTGAAAAGGCTATGTGCTGTAAAATTCCAGCTCTATGACATTCATAAAAAGGCAAAACCAAAGATAAAAAGATCGGTGGTTTCTAGGGTTTCAGAGAGGGAGGGATGAATAACAGGGCACAGAGGATTTTTAGGGCAGTAAAACTGTTCCTTCCATATGATATTGTAATTGTGGATATATGACCTTATGCATTTTTCAAAGCCCACAGAACTATACATCACAAAGGCTGAATCCAAATGTAAATTATGGACTTTAGTTAATAATAATATATCACTTATATAACATATGACACTAATGCAAAATACTGTAATAGGAAAAACTGTGTCTAGTGGAGAAGGGGCACATGAGAACTTTCTGGACTATTTACTCAATTTTTCTGTAAAACTAAAACTGCTCTAAAAATTAGAGTCTATTAATTTAAAATAGAAGTATATAGAAATGCAACAAAATTTCTGTATATTAATTTTGTATCCTGTGACTTTACTGAATTCATTTATCAATTCTAGTAGATTTTGTTGTTATTGTTGACCTCTTTAGGGTTTTCTATACATAGTACCATGTCAGGTGCAAATAGTGAAAACTGTACTTCTTTCTTGCCAATTTGGATGCATTTTATTTCTTTTTCCTGTCTGATTGCTGTGGCTAGGACTTCCAGTACCATGTTGAATAAAAGTGGTGACAGTGGACAGTCTTGCCTTGTTTCTGATCTTAGAGGAAAAGCTCTCTGTTTTTCACCATTATGATGTTAGCTGTGTATTTTCATATAAGGCCTTTATTATGTTGAGATATATTCTCTGTAAACCTAATTGATGATAGTTTTCACCATGAATGGATGTTATACTTTGTCAATGCTGTTTCTGCATCTATTGAGATGATCATATGGTTTTATCCTTACTCTTGTTGATGTAATGTATCACATTGATTGGTTTGCAAATACCGAACCACCTTTAATCCCTGGAATAAATCCCATTTGATAGTGGTGAGTGATTTTTTTTCAGTGTATTATTGGATTCACTTTGCTAATATTTTGTTGAGGATTTTTGCATCTATGTTCATCAGAGATAATTGGCTTAAAGTTCTCTCTCTCTCTCTTTGAGTGTCTTTATCTGGCTTTGATAACAAGGTAACATTGGTCTCATAGAATGAATTTGGAAATTTTTCTTTCTCTTCTATTTTTTAGAATACTTTGACAAGACTAGATATTAACTCTTCTTTAATGTTTGGTAGAATTCATCTGTGAAGCC